TACCTTTTTTTTTTGGTCCTTTTGTTCTTTGTTTTTCTTTTCATACCTGGATGTTCTGCACAAACGGAAATTGTTATAGGCTACCCCTCCCTGGCCAGGGCAGGACAGGCCTGGCCAGAGGTAGAGCCTGCTCGACTTTGATATGGGGCCTGCCTCCTTATCCCCGTTCCTTAGACATGGCCACAGAGCGTCACATGCAGTGTGTAAGTCCCCCATGGTTGCTAACAGGAGGCTTTCTTCCTCACAAGTGGTGAGAAGGGGGAAAAAACATAACCAGACCCTGCTGTCCTAGATCCACAGTTACCAAATGCTGTTGACTCAGCTTCCCAGTAAGAAGTGTATGTTACTTGGCGATCCGTAAACGTGTACACACGACTATACAAATACAGATTTCACTATACATTACTGCAGATGCGTTGTAGTCTATTCTATTTGGTTCTAGTTTGTTCCATTCTGTTCCATTGAAACAGTACTACTTATGATCCATTCCATTAATTTCATGACCCATGAATGTATCTGGCCCACAGTTTGAATAACAATGTTTAAAGTACAGGCTGGGCACAGTGGCTCACGCCTGTATTCCCAGCACTTTGGGAGGCCGAGGTGGGCAGATTACCTGAGGTCGGGAGTTCAAGACGAGCCTGGCCAATATGGTGAAGCCTCATCTCTACTAAAAATACAAAAAAAAATAGCCTGGCATGGTGGCAGGTGCCTGTAATCCCAGCTACTTGGGAGACTGAGGTCGGAGAATCACTTGAACCTGAGAGGCGGAGGTTGCAGTGAGCTGAGATCCCGCCACTGTACTCCAGCCTGGGCAACAGAGCAAGACTCCATTTCAAAAAAAGAAAAAGTAGATTTAATTAACTTACCTTTTTTGTTTTTTATACATTTTTTACTATTTCTTCCTATAATATGGGCTCTTGTTTGCTTTTCTTTTTGTGCATTGATGTCTTTTATTTCTAACAGGGAGTTGATTTTTATTCCCTAGGTGGTTTTTAATTTTAAAACAAACAAACTTGGCCTCATTCATATATATATATATATTTTTACTCATTTTCCCATGTAATTTTTCTCATTAGTTTTCTTTCCTGGGGGTGTGGGCATATATATGTATATACACACAAAAATGTGGATGTGAATACACACACACACGCACACATTTCTATAAATGAAGATTCTTTCCTTATTATTTTGAATTCCTTAACACTTAAACACTTAATGGTACATGGCCCTCACAGTTATTTCTGTTTTTTAAAAAAAGCACTTCGTATTCTTGTCTTCAGATGAGATGCAGATGTTTTCCTAAGAAAGCTCCAACTCTCAAACTTACTGCACAACTATAATCAAGTTACAGCCTTCCCTCTCCTATTAGGAACATTAAATGTAATTTTTCCTGGCCTAAGAAACTTGAGTATTCTATCCTTTTTATGTTTCCATTTTTAAAGTTCTCAAGTAAACCATTTTACTGCTCCAAGCTGTTACACGAAACCCAGAAGAATGCTTGAAAGTGAGATGTGCCGGCCTCTCTCAGCCTCTCGTGATCCTTCCAAGCTCAGCCTGACACTGTCCTGTGTAGTCCTGTGGCACCCACTGGGTTCCCTTGGGTGTGTCCTGACGATGTCTTTTGTTTGTTTGTTTCCTCTTTGGAATGCCAGCACTGCTAAGTATGAGATATGTTGAAATTAGTGTCTGGTTTACAAAAAGCTATCAGCAATTTCAGACCTTTCTTATTGTAAAATGCCAAAGGGTTGGAGCCTTTTGATCCAAGCCTGAGAAAATTTCTTCAGTTAATGAATGCTGGGAGATGCCTGGTGCTGTGGCTCACACCTGTAATCCCAGCACTTTGGGAAGCCAAGGCGGGTGGATCCTTTGAGGCCAGGAGTTCAAGACCAGCCTGGTCAGCATGGTAAAACCCCATCTCTACTTAAAAAATTTTTTTAAGAAGCCAGGCAGGGTGATGCACGCCTGTAATACAAGCTACTTGGAAGGCTGAGGCATGAGAATCACTTGAACCTGGGAGGCAGAGGTTGCAGTGAGTCGAGATTGCATCACTGCACTCCGACCTGGGCGACAAAATGAGAGTCTGTCTCAAAAGTAAATGTAGGGAGATGGCCACAATGAAATGACTAAGTTTGGAATTAAACCTCAGTTTGATGTTGACAGTGCAGAGACCTGGGCAGAAGACTTTCAGTAGCCAGGTAGCCGTGAGTCGGTGGTAGTAGCTTCCTGAGCAAGGGAGGCGTCCCGGTAGTCAGTGTAGGGTGAGGGGATCATAGAAAGCAGATGGAGGGAGTGAAAAAATGGAGGGGGAGCTTAGAATGTCTAAAAGCTCTTCCCAGCGAATTTGTTGAGCCGGGACCACCAGTGCATTCGAATAGATGATCATTTTATCTTCACTCACCCCATCTGTTTGCTGGAGGCCCTTCCCACTGCCGCTGTTGGAGTTGAAAATCAATCAGATTTGGTTCAATGAAAGACATTGTACAGCCAGTTTCGTTCTCTTTCTTCTGTCCAAATGGAGATTTTCGTGATGCTGTCTGCTATTTATTGAGTACCTGTAGTATGGCCGCTGCTCAAGGTATTTTATGTTATGCCATCTCTGAGCCTCCCACCTCTCTGTAAGTGGGTCACTGATTTACCAGTGAGGAAGCCAAGACTCTCCATGGCGCTATGATTTGTGCAGGACCACTTGGGAAATGTCTGTGTGGCTCCAGACCGCCTGTGCTTACTGTCTTCAGCTTGCCTCTCTGCACCTGGATCAGTTACCTTGTAAATGTCCTGCAATGTCCTGGGGGTTTATTCCGCTTAACTGTTGTTTTTATTTATTTATTTATTTTGAGACAGAGCTTCACTGTTTTTGCCCAGGCTGGAGTGCAAATAGCATGATCTCTGCTCGCTGCAGCCTCTGCCTCCTAGGTTCAATCTGCTTAGCTTTTACATGGTAGCATATATTAATATGGGTATACAAGGGTACAGTAAACAAGACACTTAGGATTAGGAGAAACCATATTCTTGACTTATGGTTATTTCCTTGAGAGGGCCAACTGGTTGTCCTTCATTTATTTGACGCTTTTTTTTTTTTCTTTTTTGGCGTAAGATTAAATGGTCCCACCCTGAAAGCCACTATGATGAAAACAAAAGCCATTGGGTTTCCAGAATTGAGATAATATCATTGCAAAAATGTTTGGGTCACATGTCAACCATGGCTCTCAGTGTAGCTATTGCTGGTTTGGAGCCTTGGGTGCAAGGGATCAGAAAGGCAGGTGCCACTGGCCCAGGGCTCCACCGGGAGCCTTTGGTGGAATCAGCCTAGACCCCTACTGTTGGTTGACAGGACTTGGTGGTTTGTTGTATGTTATCCAAATTTGATAGTTCCCCTGTCTCCTCCCTTTCCTCCCAAACCTCTCCACCCCTTAGCTTTTGGCTTTCTTCTGCACAGCTCTTTAATAAAAGAGAGGATGAAGATTCCAGGGCAAATTATTGAGTGACCCGCCTGATTTACTTGGAAAGTCTCACTGTTCCCCCTGGATCATTCCGGGTTTGAGAATGTGTGTGTGAAAGAAAAAAACACATAGGAATGTTGAATTTTCCAAAGTTGAACTCTTTCAGGTCTTTAAACATCCGGTTGGTTAAACTGGGAACATTGATATTTTAAGCATAGAGTGTTCAGCCAGACCCTGACCTGTGTCTGGGGTCAGGCCTGCACGTGGGGGTGGGTCACTAGGGTGGTCAGAGGTTCCAGCCCCTGGAGCAATTCCAGGGCTGGAGCAATTCCTCTATTCTCATTGCACCAGAAAGAGTTAATTCCAGTTGCACGGCTTGCTGATGTTGTTGATAGTAAAGTATTTTAATGGGCTCTGTGAATAAGGTTTGTAAGGAAATGACTTGGGTGAACTGATGTCTGAAACACAGCATTTTTGAACTTTTAAAAAGATTTTAGGAGTAACTTATTTTTACAGCTCCTTGTGGGATTTTCTCGCACTGTCCCCTTCCCCCCTGCTAGTTAAACAGCTTCTTGTTTGCTTTCTAAATGTTGGAGGGTAACATCAATCTTACTGTTGGCTGGAAGCAGGAGGTGGGCACGGGTTTATGTAACTTAACTTCTTTTCTCTGCAAATCAGTAAATATTTACAAATGACCTTATCAAACAGTTTGGGTACATTCGGTCACTTGAAAGTGTGCAGCCAGAGGAGTGACTGCCCATGGGCCCGCTGCCAGTTGTGGGAGGGGGCCTCAAGGGAAGGACTCACATTTTTAAAAATAGGCAGGAAGTGGGCCTCACAGGAAGCCTCCCTCTCTCCACTGAAGAGTTTTAGAAAATTTGCATTTTAAAGTTTGACTTCTTTAAAATTCAACTCTTTGAGGCTGGAGTTGATTGCTGGGAACAGAGGAATCCCAAAAATAAATAGTGGATTCTGAGTTAGCCTCACCATTGTTGCCTGAGTTCTTTTGTTTCTTAGGGAAGGTAATGACAGAATTCCATCCCAAGAGTAAATGTCATTCTTTTGTGGGTTAGCTGGAAAAAAACAAGGGGATTACTTTTTTGTGTTTATAAAATGGTCCCGATGTCACATGGCTTTAAACATAACTACAGTTCTACAGCAGAGATGGACTTTGGGATGTCTCAGCCCTCTTTTTTTTCCCCTAATATTAGAAATCTGACACAGTTAAACTCATCTTTAGAAGAGAATGCACATGTGCTTCAAAGTTGGCACTGAAAAATAATTCCCATTTTCTTGGTAGTTTGGATATGAAAATTGCAATATTGGTGTATCACCATAATCTGGTAATTTCATTTTGCCAATCAAACATAATACAAGTAAGACTGAAGTGCATTTTATGGAGTTCTATTGTCAGTATAATACCTAAGGCTGACAAACAGTCAACAAATAAATGGAAAGCTTTTAAGAACAAATAAGTGATGATAGCTATACATCTACTTATTGCAAAGTGCTTAATGATTCTGTATTAATGCTTTTGTATTTTAATTTTCTTTGCAGAGTATTGGGAAAGGGTCGTTGTGGTGCATAGACCCAGAGTATAGACAAAACCTAATTCAGGCTTTGAAAAAGACACCTTATCACCCACACCCACACGTGTTCAATACACCTCCCACCTGTCCTCAGGCATATCAAAGGTAAGCAACTCAGACTTCTTTTTTTGGTCTACTGAAATGGCATTATTTTGGCAGAGACCTGCACGGAAATTAATAGGTCGTATGAGATTTAAAAAATAACTGCAGGTAAATGAGAAGGAAATTAAGTATCATTAGGAGGCATATCCATTGTTGTATTTCCTGCAAACCTTACCGCTTCTGCAGCTTCGGAGGAATGTGCTTCCAGGAGGCTTCATAGTGGGTGAAATAACACCTTCCTGAGTAGAAACATGGACAGAGAAAAGCTGACAGCTTTCCCATCTCGATGTGTGTCACGTTTTGTGGGGATAAAAGTACAGGCGCGAGTCGAGCAGGTGACTCCGTCGTCCCTTCCTCTGGCCGGTCTCTGCAGACGTCCAGTGGAGGCTCACTCGGCTGTTGGCTTTCGCGGTCTCCATGTGGACGGTGCTCCCAGGTGATCGTTTTGTTGTGGTTACTTGGTGTTTGCTTCCTCAGGGAGAACAGCAGAGAACCATAGAGACATTTTCTCCTCCTCACAGGCCCATTTGTTTGAGACAGTAAGGTCATGGGTACCATTTTTACAAATACATCATTGGAAGGGAGGGTAAATAAGTAGCCTGTCACTTTTTTTTAAAAAAGTGTCTTAATGTTGTTAGATTCCACAAGAGAGCCAAATAATCAGAACCAAATTTCTAAGATAGATTTTTATCAACACACAGTGCTTGAGTTTGAAATGCATTCCTCAACTCTACAAAAACGTATTTAAAAATGTATAGAAATGTTTCTTTCATAACCACCTAGTTAAGAGGAATTATCCTTGGACTGCAAGTCGAGGTTAATTAGGGATGGCATGGTGTCACAGGCTTCAGGAATTTTGCAGTCCACTTCTCTGCAGATTCTTTTCCTAGTCTGCTGTTTGTTCTGCAGGAGGGAGCACAAAATGATCTTCTGAAATAGCATTAATGAAGTTCTTGTGCATCTCAGTTGAGAAGCATTCCATCACAGGCCCTAGACAATCAGTCTTTAGCAAGAGACAGGGAGGAACAGCTGGGCTCTCTGAGAAGACTGCTGTATGTCTGCCTTTGCTAGGCGATTAGCGTGATGGTACCCATAGCAACTGGAGCGTCTCCATAGTAACGCGTAGCCGAGACAGGTGCAGTTGCATCACAAGGCTGTTTGTTGCCTGGCAAAAGGACAGGCCATTAGTACTTAGATATACGCTGTTGCCTTAGAAACAAATAACCCTACATAGCAACTACAGTTGGTTTGAAAGGCTTGGTGTGGGGTGGGGTCGGGGGGAAGGTTGTAGCAGCTTTTGTCTGTGCTCATAAAAATCAGTGGAAGCATACTTTATTCGAAATGACAACTTGAGGTCATATAGCTGTAGGAGAGAAAATGGGATTTTCCAGAGCAGCCCAGCCAATATCGTAGACGTGTCCAGAAGGACAGAGCCATATGCTTGGTTTTCTCCTTGTGGCCGTAGCCACTCCCCAGATGGAAGAGAACCAGGATTGGAGTGGAGAATTGCCGATGTCCAGGGTTGGTGAAGGAGGACGTGACGCTAATTATTGAAATGTTTCCCAGATTCTCATATTTCTTTGTCTTTCTACTCCCCGTACCCTCCAGGCTCCATAGAATACCCTTCTCTGGCTTTTCCAGTTTGTACCTCGGAAATATTTCGTCTCTCTTTGCTTCTAGGAAGTTAAGAACATAAACGTAACTCAGTGGGTCATGTCGGTGGTTCATTTAGATGAGTATTTTGTTGCCAAATGTGACCCCGAGGGAAACACAGTAATTATTTAATAATTTGAAGGATTATAGAGGAGCTCTGGGGGCTGGAACAGGAATGCATATCCAGGCAAGAGGCATTCCGCGCTGGCCTTAGCTTAATGACTTCATTTGATTTTTAATATAGGCATAAAAATGCAGACGAACCAGAGCTTTTGTAATGAAAATCATTTCTGAAGAAATACTTCAGACCCTGCTCTGTCACCTCCAGCCTTTCTCCCCAGCTGACTGAGGGGGGGAAATAAAAAGAGTTTCTGCCACTGCCCATGCGGTGCTTAGATTTCACCTCCACAGAGGTCACTGACTCTGGAGGGAGATGACAGATGAGATTCTAGCCTGCCTCTTCCATGCCTTAACTCCACGAGAACAGGTCACATTCTCTTTCCTGGGTACTGTCGGCCCTTCATCTGAAAGCTGAGAGTTTGCTTCAGGATCTTCTAGTGTGTGAAATTGCACGGAAGCCACTGAACACCGGGTAATTGTACAATATTTTTGTGTCTTACAGTGATGTGGCATTTGGCGCCATTCTAAGCCATCAGGCCACTTGTTGACATGACTCAGGGAAGATGGAATGGAACAGAACGATTCCTTAAACGGGGACCCAAAAATGCCAAATTGACGTGAGCTGGCTGGGTCCACTGTGAGGCAGGGAATCACCTGTCAGCCCCTTGCTGGATCGCTGTGAAGGGCACCTGGGAGGTGCTTGCCTTTCACAGAGCTGGCACTTAGCATGCTGAAGAAGATGGTGATTATACTAGATGGGCGGTTATTGCTAGGACTTGCAGGTGTGCTTGGCACATATTGCTCTGAACTGAGCTGCAGGTGGCTGGAAATGCTGCGGAAAAGCAAGGCATTTGAAAACACTGCCCAGACCTTGCTCACGTTCAAATACCATGCTAAATATTGTGATATGTAGACCCATGCTTCTGTTTTCTAAACGTGCCCTTTTGGATGTATGTTAGGATGTCCTTCCACACCTGCTTTGTTGATACCAAATTTGTGAATTGTTTTTAATCAAAGTGCAGAGCTCAGTGACCTGTTCTGTTTCTTTGCTAGGAATGTCTATAACGGAGTACCGCAAACCAAGTGACTTAAACAACAGAAACTTACTGTCTCAGGGTTCTGGAGGCTGGAAGTCCAAGATCAAGGGGTTGGCAGGGTTGGTTCCTTCTGTAGGTTGTGAGGGAGCGTCTGTTCCGCCCCTCTCTCCTAGCTTTGGTAATTTACTGGCATTTTGCTGGAATGCTTTTGGCCTACCTTGGCCTGTAGAAACATCAGTCTGATTTCTGCCTTCACCTTCACTTGGCTTTCGTTTTCTCCGTGCGGTGGCTGTGTCCAAATTTTCTCTTCTTATAAGGACACACCGGGCATATTGGTTTAGGGGCCCATCTTTCTCCCGTAATGGCTGATACTATTTAACTAATTACATTTTCAATGGCCCTGTTTCCAAATAAGGTCATGTTCAGATGTACTGAGGACTGGGACTTCAACATATGAATTTTGGGGAGGCACAAGTCACCCCATAGCAACTCTTTTTAGGGAGATATTTTGCTGATAAAAATATGGAAAAGCAGAAAGGAAATATTTAAAGAACAAAATGATGAGGTTGGGGGCAGGGGTGTCAAAAGGATTCTCCTGAAGTTGCTCCCAGTAGTCAAAGCTGGGACAGTGTAAACAGCAAAATCAGTACCAGTGTTGGATTATAACTTGATATATAAAATAAATACCTGAGTCCAGCCTGATATTAATAAATGATTGAATAAAGAGACAAATAAATGAGAGAAGAGACACGTTTCCCATTCCAAATGCTTGATGTAGCTATTTCTCCACTGAAGGAGGTGGAGTGGAACTGCCCACTCCCTGAATGGCTGCACTTAATGACCTACTTCTAAAGATGAGAGCGTGGCATAGGTTGGAAAAGGAAGTTTAGAGTGGAAAAACCTGGTGAACACTTTGTCCCAGCTGATGAAAGCTGCCATCCTCAGTGATGTGCTGTTGATACCAGAATGCTCTTGTAGGACAGCATAAATTTGGCACCTCAGCTTTGTGGCCTTCCTCCCCAGACACATAACCCCAGTCTAGTCATGGGAAAAACATCAAACAGTGATTTCGTCCTTCATCAGGGACATGCTGCAAAATAACCCGATCTTCACTCCTCAAAGCCCCAAGGTCATCAGGGCAAGTCTGAGAATCTGTTACAGACCAGAGGAGGCTAGAGGGATATGACAACCAGATGTGTCCTGTGATGTCCTGGATGGGATCCAGGAACAGTAAAAGGACATTAGGGGAAAACTTGCGAAATCAGAATTAACTGTTCAGTTTAGGTAACAGTGATAGTAGTGCGCTGCATAGTTTACAGCAGCACAATTCGCTGCTGCGAAGATACCGAACCAACCTAAGTGCCCATCAGCTAATGACTGAATAAGGAAAATGTGGTGTATATACACTGTGGAATACTACTCAGCCATAAAAAGGAACAAAATAATGTCTTTTTTTTTTTTTTTTGGAGACGGAGTTTCGCTCTTGTTGCCCAGGCTGGAGTGCAATGGTGCGATCTCGGCTCACCGCAACCTCCGCCTCCTGGGTTCAAGCAATTCTCCTGCCTCAGCCTCCTGAGTAGCTGGGACTACAGGCACGCACCACCATGCCCAGCTAATTTTTTTGTAGTTTTAGTAGAGACGGGGTTTCACCATATTGACCAGGATGGTCTCGATCTCTTGACCTCGTGATCCACCCGCCTTGGCCTCCCAAAGTGCTGGGATTACAGGCTTGAGCCACCGCGAAAATAATGTCTTTTGCAGCAACTTGGATGGGGCTGAGGGCCTTATTTTAAGTCAACTCAGGAATGGAAAACCAAATATCATATGTTCTCACTTATAAGTGGGAGCTAAACTGTGAGGAAGCAAAGGCATGAGAATCATACAATGGATGCTGGGGACTCGGGGTGGGTGTAGGTTCGGAGGGAGATGAAGGATAAAAGACCACATATGGGGTGACAGGTACACTAAAGTCTCAGAAATCACCACTAAAGAACTTATCCATGTAGCTCAAAACCATCTGTACCCAAAAAACTATTGAAATAAAAAAAATAGTCTTCCAGTGTTGTGACTAGTGTCTTTTAGTAATATGTGGTGTTAACATTAGGGAAAACGAAGTGAGGGGTATACAGGAACTTTCTGTGCTATCTTTGTAACTTTTCTGTTAAAAAAAAAAAAAAACTGCAAAAAAAAAAA